AAAAAGACCCCCCCACCAAAAAAACAAAAACAATGAAATCAATATTTTGTTAAAGTTTACTAGATTAAATTTTTCACAACTGATTATTTAACCTTTCATTAGTCATATTGTTAGCTACAGATTTTTGAAAGTACTCGTAATTTCAAATTAGCAGCTATTTTTCTTTTGTTCCGTCCCACAACTCTCGTGACTCCGTGGCACGGGGTGGGGGTTGTATCATGCAATTTGTCGCAGTTGTAGCTCAGTTGTTGTCGAAAGCCGTCGTCGCTTTTTTCTTGTTCAGGTTATTTTGTCATCCCACCAGATTAACGAAAGTAATTTTCCTGATATATATATATATATATATATATATATATATATATATATATATAGTTTTTTGTTATATTAACGTCAATTGGTTATTTAATGCCAACAAGATTTTTAGTGCTGTTAATATTTTCTTTTATCCAAAAATGTGTATTGGTAATATTATTTTTTAAATAAAATTTATAACTGATATTAAAACATATTTTTACACTTTCATAGCGTTATGACTATAGATTTGGGGTTACCTCTTCGTTTTGATTATAGTTTTTGCGTTAATTATCTGGTACCCTAACTTGTACTATCACCGTGGGTCAAGATGAACATGGGAACAACCGCAATTAGGAGTTGGTTCCATGCTCCTCAAAATCATAACAGGCCTTGCTGTAGGATGCAGTTCATCATTATACCCAGGACGCCGATGTAGTTTATCGTCATACACAGGATGCCTCATTAGAGGCGGGGATCTTATCCCGCTGCAGAAGTGAAGTCTGTGTATTCTGATGCCTCAGGCTATACATATATAGGAGGCACGGTGGAGTAATGCATAGCGGTTCGGATTGAGGAATTGGAAAGCGGAGTTCGAATTCTAGTCGAATCCATTACATTCACTTACGTGCTAATGTCCTTGGGAAAGGTACTACTCCTCTTCTCCCCGCTCCAGTTATGGATGGCAAGTCGTCTAGGAGAAGGACAACTCTGAATTCAAAACCTCCGGAGGGTCGTCTGGGTAACTTGCGGTACGTATTGTCCCAGGAAATATGTATTCGACTCTTCAAGAAAGTGTGGTTACTTCAGCAGAAAGCCTTCACCACTATCATCAAATCATTTCTTGGTGGTGTCTCGCTGTCGGTTCCTAGGAACTGACCAACTTGACCATTATACATCGAATACCGCAGGAGAGTCTACTGTATATATATATATATATATATATATATATATATATATATATTTATAAGTGAACATTGACGTCAACACTTATAGGCGACAGGGTGTTTCATGCTGGACGTCAGGCCTGAAGATTGCGTCCAGCATGAAACAACCTGTCACCTATGGTGTTGACTTCAATGTTCACTTATATTTATATTTACATACGCTCTATCTCTGATATTGAGCACTTTATCCCATAAATATAGCACACCTTAAAACTATATTTCTTCATATATATATATATATATATATATATATATATATATATATATATATATATATCAAGTATGTGGCGCAGTTCAATTTACATTGCATGAATCATTCATACAAAAAACAGATATATATCATTAACTTCTATATCTGTTTTTGTATGAATGATTCATGTATATATAGATTTTTTCCTTTCATTTCGTTGTTGGAATTGTTACCTGATATCCGGAGTCCTTTAAAAAGGATTTTGGTGAAATAAATTATTGTAATGGTACCTTAAAAGTGGTCTGTTTTTCATTAATTATATATATATATATATATATATATATATATATATATATATATATATATATATAATTACTCTTTCCGTTCTGTAATGGATTTTAGCTAATACAACTTCTATTCATGGAAATATTTTGGTTATTTTTTATGAATAAAACTTTTCTCCATTATTGCATTGATTTGTTCCATCTACAATTTATAACATTTTCGAGAATCCGAGTTGACTAATGCAGAGTAAAACTGAAACAGTCATTATCGATACCAACCATTTAAGTCGAAACAGGTCTGTTGATTATGATAATTCAAAGAGTTGATATATTTCTATATTGAAATAGTGCAATGTTTTCTCATTGAGGACGCAAAGGATTTAAATTTATTGTCCTTCTCGACACTAGCTGCTGTGCAAGGCTTGAGAACCCAGTCTACTTTGCTATTTAACTCATATGTGGTTAAAAATGATCCATAAATTCGCCAAAAGAATAGTGCGAAATAGAACGCAATCGACTAGACCAGAATTTGAAATCGGTTCGCCTGGTACACTTCCAGAGCCGATAACCCTTATGACACCCTGACATGCACACATATACGAGAATATGCTATATATATTTTTTTTTAGCAGTACAACAGTATTTTACGTAATTGTAACACTGTAAGCATTTTTGTATTGTTGGGTGTAAACACTCCAGGGAACTATCCATTTTCGCAAATTTTGGTTAAATATTTTTTTCTATTATTATTGCAGCCCAGATTTCAAGGAATGGGTCTTTTTGCGTATCGTTTTCGTAAGTCTTTTGGAACCCAAAGATGGATACTGGAAGTTGTTTGTTCAAGGTCGGTAATGCTATTTCAGGAAAAAGTTGCAACCAAATCATGTAAATAATACATTTGATGTATAATTATAAGTTTTGAACTATATTTTCAGAGACAACAAATCCGATTAAAAATAAAATGAAAAAAAAGTTCTATACCAACGCAGATCTCAACGATTGAGCACTTAAGATCGAGGATTGATAACTAGTTATGCATTTCCTAGTTTTTACGTTGAGTTTCGTTAGAAACAAAGAAAAGTACTGTTACGTAATATCAGCCCGTCTACAGAGTGCGATGGATTAATTGTCGTTTAAATTACGCAAAAGTTGGTGAATATTGCTATAATCCTTGCCTACAGTTCATCTTTGGTGCGACAAGGAACTGTATCCTCCTCAACTGCTCCTCACGTATAATAATCAAGGGAGGGTTGCAGTCTGGAGAGTTAGGTGGCCAGATGTAAGAGATGTGGTCGCAGAAATTTTTCTGGTAACCATGACTGGGTTCTTCTGCTTGCGTGGCCATCTTCTTGAGCCAGGGCAGCACTTAATGTAGGCCCCCGTGTTGAGTTTGATGGAAAGTGAATGTAGGCATAACGTCGCCATCACTAGTGATCACTCCAAGCATAATGATGTCCACTGGACATATCATCCATCTCTTTCCGGTTACTCTGCACTGTACTCAGATTAATATCCAAATACTCTGAAATGTTCATTTTGGAGCTTCCGGTGCGAATGACAAGCAGTACGCAAGCCGTTTCCAAATTTCTGGAGGAGTTAATTACGTCATGTTGGTCTTTTTCGCACAGACAGTGTCTGACTGATCCTACCATACTTTGCAGTTGACAAAATAAATAAAATAAAACAATGCGCATGCGCGAAATTTAAAAATTTAAAATGGCGATAATTAACCCATCGCGCCCTGTATAGTTATTTTCCATGCATCGTTTAGATGTGGCACAAGACCTAAAGTAGGGGCCAACCAGTGAGGATCGAACTCGCTGCTAAGTTGTAATTGTTCTAGCGAGACAAGATTGCTAACCCTTACAACTTCCCGAGGTGCTCATCCATCGCGCCTTGTGTATGTCAGTGAATGCTGGACAATTTCATCACTGATGAAGCAGAATCTTCAAGCAATAGAAATGTGGTTCTCCAGAAGGGTGCTGAGAATACCATGGAGGGATGATGATGAAGTTTTAGAGAAAATGGAAACAAACAGTTTCTAGGGTAAATAACGAAGAAAGAGGACTTGGAGTTGATACTCCTCGGACAGATTGAAGGTAAGAGGGGCAGAGGGAAACGACACATAACCGACTTGGAAAACTTGGGAAGTAAATAAGTGAACAGGGCTTAAGAGAGGTAACTATGACAAAATATATTAAGAGCCACAACGGACAAGGTATTATGGAGATCTATGGTCATCAGCATCTAGAATAGATACGACTTATAAGATGTATAATATAAAATAATGGGTTTGCCTGAAAGGATGCCATGTAGGGACTGGGAAAGATGGTAAAAAAGAAACGTTTCTGAGACCTACACAAGTTAAAAAGTGGTGCAGAAGCATAACAGCACATATCATTGAACTATATGTCGGCAACCCGCTACGGAGGAGAGACATGGCATATAACCGGTATACCGGGTAAGCTATCAGTCTACAAATCCTTTACGCATAAGGTGAGGAACCCAAATTCTTCAGTAAAGTAGGAGACCGTACGGGTCACCAGACCTGTTCTCCCAAGGCGTTTTTGTTGATGTCATTCGGTGATATGCACATAGATGCTACCATTCTTCTCTTGCGGCCTAGGCCGAGATTGAAATCACCAATACTTTGATTGGTGTAGTTCATAATCTTGTCAAATAGCTGAATTCTTGATGCTTCGCTAGGGTTATCAAGGGTGTTTTTTATCGTGACACCATCACTAAATGAATTGCTAACCAAGGCTCAGAGAGACTACATTCACCCTCCTCTAAGACCAGGTTTGAATTCAGAGTTTTCCTTCTCCTAGACCAGTTGCCATCCAAGGCTATAGAACCCAGTCTGTCCTGCTATTTACCCATAACTGGAGGGAGAAGAAAGAGGATTCACACCTTTCCCAAGGGTATTAGCACGTAAGTGAATGTAATGGATTCGACTGGAATTCGAACTCTGTTCTCCGATTCCTCACTCCAAGCCGCTATCCATTACTCCACCGTGCCTCCCAGATGCTACCATAATGCAACGAGTATTTTTTACGGCTTATAAACCCGAAAAAATATTTTTTTAGAATGTAAGAACTTTTGAAGATGACAATGATTTACTGATACAAGTGCTACTAATTAACCCATAGCTGGGGGAGAAGAGGTGGATTTATACCTTCATCAATGGTATTTGCGCGTAGACGTAACGAGACCGACAGGAATCGGAACTCGGCTCCACGATTTCCAATTCCAAGCCGTTATCGATTATACCATCCACAAATCCAACCTTTCAGCTCCTGGTATTCTCAAGCATTCACCCATCTAGTTACTGACCAGTCTCGACCTTGCTTAACTTTCTTAATCGTACGAGAACAGGTGTTTCGACGTGATATGGCCGTACGCCTGATTTAATGAGAGACGTGGGTGTGTGACCTTCACAAGTGTAATACAATAGTGCGTAAATAAACCAACTGCCCCAAATTAATTTGACCCAGGTCCGCCTATTCTATTGAACCTAATGTTAACTGTTAGGCCGAGACGGTAAGTCCATGTGGCGTGGTAGTTACTAAACATAACTTAATTCTAGCACAATGTTACTAATATCTGCTAACCAATGTGGACCAAAGTGACTATTAACGGTCTCCGAATGTGTACCTGATATCAACACTGAAAAAATGCAATCAGAAAACTGAGTTGGAATTTCAGGCCTGACTGTTGCGTCTAATATTGCAGAGTCCATTTTTCCCCACCAGCTAAGGATTAAATAGCGGAGTACACACGGCTTTTTGTCTCTTGGCAGCAACATACCTCAGAAGAAAGAAAAGTGAATTCCGAGCCGTGCAGCCAAGCATCGATGGTGATTTGCAGATAATATACAAAAGGAATCTGTGGACAATCATGTTCGCTCATGCCTTGAAGAGACACTGTATTAAGAATATATTTTTGTGCAATAACGTTCTCCCTGTATGAGGCACAAGAGACACTCAAGAAAGAGTTTTACAAAGACAGAAATAATGACAATGATAATATGAGCCGTATTTGTATAAAGAAACATTGGACATTAAGTCAGCACTATTTTCGATTGAACATCATAAAGTTTTTCTCTTAAAACACATTTTAGAAAAACAGGTTTCTAAAGTCCAGCACCTTTTATCACTATTTAAACAACATTTCTTTACATCTAAACAACATTTCTGGAAAACAGGTTTCTCAAGTCCAGTAGCTTTCATCTCTCCTTCCAGTATTGATTTCCTTCCGAAGCTTTTGTTTGAAGTCGTGTGGAAAGTCAACATAACTGTTTGTGAAGGCATGTGGGGAAGGTAACGGTTTACACTAGACTTGAACAGGTTAAGAATGTAGTGATCAGGGAAGCATACTCGTGGGAGTCGGTTCGCAACAATAAGAAATGAAAAACAAAAAATGAGAAAATGAAAAAAAGTAAGTAAAAGAAAAGCAAAACAAAAATATGAAAAATAATCAAAAATATAAGAAATACAAAACCAAAATGTAAGAAAAATAAAAAAAAAACAAAATGTAAGAAAAATAAAAAACAAAAACAAAATAAGAATAGTGTAATGATAAAAGTACGCAGGTGTAGGCTTTAAGAAAGCTTTATTCAACTGAGAATACAAGGTTCGCGCATAATCCCAGTAAACAGATATAGCGCTCTCAAAGAGGAGAGTAACGGAACAAGGGGAGACCACTCTTGATTATTCATAACAAATAGAAATACAAAACCTAAAATGAAACAAATAAAGTTACTAATAAATTATTTTACACTTTATCTACTTTTCTATTTATTAGACACAAGCTTAAGAAAATGGATCAAATAGAATAATAGTTCCTGCGTATATATTAAGCGACCTAATTACTGGCCAAATCTATTTATATAAACATTATCTACACAGACCTTTGCGTGATGCATAAATATTTAGCTGCAAAATAGTACTTACTATTTTCCCTTTCAATTTTGTTTTTAACCATTTTCTCATACTATCATTTCTATATTTATGCTCTTTATATTTAGACTAATGTTCCCATCATTCTTAAATAAAGATGAGGAGAATCGTCCCGATATAAATAGTGTAAATAATGATAATTCCCAGAAATCCTGACAAAAATTATCATTTTTCTGTTAACACAACAAAATTTTATTCTATTAAAATTTTACGAAATTTTACGGGACTCGAATGACGACATTGTGCATTAAGCAACTCAAAAATATATAAAAAAAAAGAAAAGCAAAGAAATAAAAACTTAAAATTAAAAAAATGTTACTAAAAACATTATTTGCTGCTACTATAATATGATATCTACTGAGGCATTCTCGACCTACCATAAATGATGCACTCATTATTACTGAAAAATGCTCAGGAAAAACGATCACCACTTTACTGTTTTTTTAAATGACATCAAACCAGTTTACAAACACTAAAATCACTATTTCATGATTAAGAAAAACGTTTAAAGAATCGTGAATGATTTTTAATACGTAATAAGTTCACTGTCCCCTGCTTTTAAATCTAAACCCTAACACTAACCCTTAAACCTAACCGCAACATAACAGTTGGTAAATATCATACCATAATAGAAAATGAATATTAGATATCATACCATAGTAAAAAAAAAAAAAATGACCGGTAGATATCATATATATACTTGCACCGTATTTGGTCTATAATAAAATAAATAACTGCACAATAATAAAAACATCACATACACAATAATAAAAAACAAGTTCACAATAATAAAAATTGAGTACGTACAGAAGAGTAAACAGCTGATTAATGCACAATAATGAAAAGACGTGTAAGTACACAATAATAATAAAAAAATAATTACGTACACAATAATAAAAAAGACAATTAAGTATTCAATAATAAAAAGATGAATAAATGAATCGCTACTATAGTATGATATCTACCGAAGCATTTGCGACGAAGAAATTATTATTGCTGGAAAATGCTCAGAAAAAACGATGACCTGTATACTGTTTTTTTTTAATGACATCAAATTTACAAACATTAAAATCACTATTAGATCATTTTTTTGTATAAAAAATGTTAAGTAATGTTAATACATAACCAGTTCACTGTTCACTGCCTTTAACTCTAACATATTTCATACTTCCAACAGTTGGTAAATATCATAACATAGTAGAAAATTAAAAGTAATATCATACTATAGTAGAAAATTGACGGGTGATATACTATAGTAGTAAACATTATTTTATGTTGTATTTTAAAATTCTACTGGATTAGTTGTATTGGAATGACTTTCTTTCTTATTTTAGATTCAAGCATAACAAATTTAACTAATTGGTCGCCAACCTGGAGATAACAGGTGGTTGACATTCTTTATTATAATTCCGGCTACGGGTTATCTCGTTTTTGTGTTATTGCCATCGAGGCAGCAAAAAAATTTTTTTTTTTTAACGCCAATGACTCACCTGGCGTCTAAGACTGGAATGAAAAATCGTACTGACAACTATAAACAAACTTTCATGGAAAAAAAATTATTAAAAATATAACACAAAAACAAAAACATTCGAAAAATAAAAAATTTCCTAAGTTGGCCATTATAGCATTTTACTAAACGTAGTTTAAACGTGGCACAAGGTCAAAAATATGGCGTACCATTTAAGAACCGAACTTCCTAATCAGTTGTAATTCATTTAGCGAGATACGCTTGCTAACCAGTACCAAACTGGCAAAGTTGGCCGTTATGAAGTTGGCATTTGATGTCAGATTTTGTGATACGACCCCTGGCAGACAACGTGATCCGCAAATATTTAAGCAACTGATTTTTGAGCCAAAATTTCGCCACTAGAGGACTGGTCAAAATCGTAATTTTCTTATGAAAAAAATTACCATTTCAATGATTTTTTAGGCTACAGGCCGACTGATGTACCTACATATAGACCCCTGAATTAAGTTCAAGATTACGAAAGGAGTTTAAATAATTATTGCATATTTTTTTCTTCTTCTTGATGATCCTAATTATAAGATTAATAGTGATTTTCCAAGCGTAGCTTAGATCTGGCACAAGGTCGAAAGTATGGGGCACCCGGTGAGGATTGAAATCACTATTCCGGCGTAATTTATCTAGCGAGACAAACTTGCTAAACATTACATAACACCGAAGTGTCCAAGATAGATTTTTAAGCGTAGCTTAGATGTGGCACAAGGCTAAAATTATGGGTCAACCAGTGAGGATCGAATTCATGATTCCGTCGTAATTGTTCTAGCGAGACAAGCTTGCTAACCCTTACACCACGCCGAAGTGTCCAAGATGACTTTTGAAGCGTAGCTTAGATGTGGCACAAGGCCGAAAGTATGGGGCAGCCAATGAGGATCGAACTCACTATTTAGCGAGACAAGCTTGCTAACCATTAAATAACCTCGAGGTGTCCATACATATAAGATTAATATTATCTCCTGAATCAAGTGCATAAAAAAGGAAGATGTTGTTCTAAAGTATAATAAGTGGTGTGTAAAAAAAATAGTTTTTACAGAATTCTGACGGTGGCCCAATTTCCTGCATACGATCACATCACGTTGAAACACCGGTTCGCTTACGATCATCGAAGTTAAGCAACGTCGAGCCTGGTCATTACCTAGGTGGGTAACCAGGAAATATAAACTTAAATGTGCGGATGGATATCGCGTATTAGTCGAAGTGAAAACAATGGCATAACCATAATGTTGACATTCCACACGATTTCAAATAAAAGATTTAGGAAGCAAACGTCCATTAGTACTGGAAGGAACGGTAAGAGCTACTGGATTTGAGATATCTATTTTCCTGGAAAATTGTTTTTAAGAGAATGCAGTTATTCAAGAGTTTGTGGAGTAATAGATAGCGACTGGGATTGAGAAATTAGAGAGCCGAGTTCAAATTCCGCTCGAATCCATTACATTCACTTACGTGCTAATACACTTCGGAAAGATATGAATCCCTTATTCTCCCCCCAGCTATGGGTAAAATAGCGGGACAGACCTGGTTCTATAGCCTTGGATGGCAACTGGTCTACCACAGAAAGAAATTTCAACCCACTACGGGAAAAAAAAACTGCCTCGTCAGTCATGTATCGAAAGATACATGATCGCCTAAACGTGTATCACGCATGGCACATAAATAACTGAGTTACTCAGATAATGACATTTTAAAATCTCTTTCGGAATTGTTAATCGGTGAGCCGTGTTCCAATTCCAGTCGGGTTCATTATCTTCACTTACACGCAAAGACTCTTGAGAAAGGCATGAATGCAACTGTTCTGCCCAGCTATCAGTTAATTAGTAAGACTTGTATCACTAAAACCATTATTATCTAAAAAAAAAAAAATCTTACAAAAATATTTAGATTTCGGCAGTCACTAACCCATAGAGGTGTTGATATGC